TTAGCTTAACAAAAAAAATCTGTCATGAAATGATGTTGCATTTAATTTTCCTTTTTAACATGCATCCAACAGTAACAGTGCCTTTGCCTTGCAGATGAGTGCATGTTAGCATAGCCATTAATTGAGAATTTTAAATGTTTTGTTGATTTTGCGCCTTTTTTGTGCAGTAAAAATTTGCCTTTAGCGAATTTTCACACATACGTGTACAGCGTATTATTAGAAAGCGTCTTTCATTCTCTTTTCTCTTGAAGTGTTTTTTCTCAGAAGGGAAATGTTGAAATTTTTATACACTAGTTAGAGGAGTGGTAGGTAGGTAAATGTGCGGGACTAGTATGTTTGCGTATAATTATTGTATACCAGAGTGGTGTTGTTTACATACATTTTTTCATTTTTGTTTTACTTCATGAAAAAAAAAAAAACTGAAGCTGAAGTTTTTTAGAATTTCATCAGTTCCATTTTAATTGGCTGTTACTTATTTTCACTCTGTGCTATACTACACAATAGTCGTTTATATTTTCTATTCCTATTCGTGTTGTTAATATTGTTATTATTATTGTTATTGTTGTTGTTATTATTATTTCTAATAGCTTTATTTAGTTGTTAAAAATAGTAATAAATTCTTGTTTTCTTCTTTTGTATTTCATTACGAACAATTGTTTGCTTTTGCCTTAGCGTTTAAGTTTTTCCGTGTGTGTGTGTATGTGTGTGTGTGTGTATATATATATGTTGAATTTCGATCATTGTAGACAAGTTGACATTTGATGAGTTGTTGTAAAGCTGTTATTGTTAAGTTTGTTTATTTACCATTTGAATATTTCATTGTTTTACTTATTGCTTCCATTATCTTTCATTTGACTCTGTTTGCTGTTTATTTCTCTCCCTATTCGAATTTTATTTATTTGCGTGTTTTCTCTTGGCGTTTCACTTGTATAAATGTCAGACTGTCATAACTTTAAATTTAAATAGCTTCAGTGTCAGTGTATCATTGTGTTAATGTATTTATTATTGTTATTTATTTTATTTTATTAAATTCGAAACACAAAACAAACCATCCTTTAATTTTACTAGAAATGAAAGAATTTATAAAATTCTTTTCTTCTCTTTTGCTTATTAGAAATAAAGGATTTATTTTATTACCATCTAACTGTTCAAATGTTATTCATTATAATAAGTTCATTTTCAGAGTTTTATTACTTTTCACAACTACTGAAAAATGTCAACTAAAAGTTATTTGAATTTTTAAAAATGGTCAATGAATGATTTATTATTGTGTTTTACTCTGAAAAGCAGACAATTAATTAAATTTGTATTCTACCCTTGAAAGTAGGCAATGTAGTAGTTCTGTATTTTACAAATGAAAGCAAAAAAAAGTAAGAAGAAAGTTATAGTCGACGGGAGCCGAATCTCGCATACCCACTACTATGTTTTTCGCATTCTACTCTTTAAGTTCTTTTCTTTGATACCCATACCGCTGGTATTATCAAGAAAAAATTAATCGCTGTATCTATCATATCACTTTGGAATTAATCCATTTTCGGGCAGATAATATTTGTTAATTTAAGGAGTGTATAAAATACTTTTAAACATTCAGTATTGATTGCCTTACGATAAATAAGCATAAAACCTCAAATATGTGAAAATACAGAAGCGGGTATAAAAACACATTTCAATCACTTGTAACTTTGTGGGTGCATGGCGGTTGCTTTTCATTGTTACACGTAACGACTGCAGTGCTTCGTTAAGTAAATGTGGAAAATTTCAGGGTTCTAAGTTTAGTAATTTCCGAGCGACGACCAAAAAACCAAAGATTGTTGTTAAAAAAATGAGTTGCGTTTAGTTTATGATCCATTGCGCACTTCTGCTCTCACACATTTAGTCCATTTTTAATACTAACCTGCGTGCAGAAATTTCCAATGGTTCTACCAAATTTGAAGTCGGTACCTTCATCTATACGACCAGGAAAGTGTCAACAACACACACCATACAGACAAACGGATCAAAAATAAATATACTTTATAGGGTCTCTGAAGCTTCATTTTGGATTTTACATATATTTTGGAAAAAAAAAAATAAAATAAGTATACCCCATCTTACAGTGGTGAGTATAAAAAGTACCTAGTTTAGTTTCATAAAAGTTCATTGGCTCATTGTATCGAGGAAGGCGTTTACAGAGATTTTGAAATTAACAAATAAATAAATCAATGAATTAAATAGTGTATTTTTTACTGGAATATATTGTACTGCAGTATAGTGGAGTACGTACTAGAATATTTTGTACTACAGTATAGCTTTTTTATACTGGAATATATTGTACTGCAGTATAGTGTATTTTTACTGCAATATATTGTACTACAATATAGCTTTTTTATACTGGAATATATTGTACTACAGTATAGTGTATTTTGTACTGGAATATATTGTACTACAGTATAGTATATTATGTATTGGAAATTATTGTACTACAGTATAGTGCATTGTGTATGTATTTTACTACAGTACGGTGCATTTTGTACTTGATTATACTATACTGCAGTATAGCTTTTTTATACTGGAATATATTGTACTACAGTATAATGTATTTTGTACTGGAATATGTTGTACTACAGTGTAGTGTATTATGTATTGGAAATTATTGTACTACAATATAGTGCATTGTGTATGTATTTTACAACAGTACGGTGCATTTTGTACTAGATTATACTATACTGCAGTATAGCTTTTTTATACTGGAATATGTTGTACTACAGTATAGTGTATTTTGTACTGGAATATATTGTACTACAGTGTATATTGTACTAGAGTATAGTACATTTTGTACTAGAATATTCTATACTACAGTGTAGCGTATTTTGTACTAGAACTATTATTATTATTATTAATTTCGCCGGAGAAATAAATTCTAAGACTAAACTCTTAAAAGCACTAGCATCTAAGGCTACCGGTTTTTATTAAAAACTCTACCGCGCTTGAGATTCGAACCCACGAGCATTGACTTGCTAGTTGAAATTCCTCGCCTTCGGCTACTCAGGCGGATACACTACTAGAATATAATATACACAGTATAGTGTATTTTCTCCTGGAAATTATTGTACTACAATATAGTGTATATTGTACTAGAATGAATATATTGTACTACGGTATAGAGCATTTTGTACTGAAATATATTGTATAGTGTATTTTGTACTGATATATATTGTATAGTGTATTTTGTGGCATATATTGTACTACAGTATAGTGTATTTTGTACTGGAATATATTGTACTACAGTATAGTGTAGTAAAGTATATATACTGCATAATGTGATCTACTAATGTGGTATACTATAATATACTGCGCTATATTGAACTACACTGTACTAGCACTATACTATACTATACTATATTTATACTCATTTTTCACTAACGTACCAAATATCAAAACTTTGTTAAAAATAATTCCCGAAAGAAAAGTCTGATTTTTTTTCCTCATTCGACAGGTACGTTTATATAGATTCACGTGATATAGGTGAATATAGATAACAGTTTCTAGTTTGACCGCACTAGAATCTCCAGTTTGGCTGTTCTTCCATATCCATATTTTGCTAACGTAACAAATTTCAAACGTCGTCAGAAATAACTTCCATAAGCAGAATTTGAATTTGTTTAGTTTGTTTGGAAGGTATTTTCATATAGATTCATGAAATGTTCACAAAAATATTTTCTTTTTTTCCCTTTAGGAGTGGGCTTTCAAATCCAATTATATCTTAATTGCAATTATTTAATAGAGCTTTGTTAAGTCGTTATTAGAATTTTCTTATTGGAAATAGTAGGTCCATTACCGAATCGGATTCATATTGCAATGCGGTAAAGCATACTGGACGTAGCAGCGATGAGTGCTTAATAAGCTATATATGCAGCTACACCTAAACACGTAAAACGAAATCATATTTTAACATTTGAGTGCATTATGCACTTTAGTTACCCTATTTCCTATTACCTTATTTTCTGCTTTTTACCAAAAGCAGATAAGCCTTGCTTATCGTTGAACGATACTGTCTGCGCGTGAACGACAAGTAAGCGATTCAAAGCTTGAAGACCTTTGCCGATTACAATCTAGACCATCAAAGTAAACTTCATCGCGTGAACTTGTGGGGGGGGCAGTGAAAAGTAATTAGCTTAATTTCTGCTTCATACTTGACGAAATTAGCCCATGTATGGTCCTCATCAGTTGGTTATTGAATTCTTTCGTATGGAGACCTTGACGACTCGACCTCGATTCCTTTCATTGCACTAACTTCAGTTCGTCAATCAGTGAGAAGGAGTTGTCCTACTTTCGACTTCATACTAAAGAAAAGACGCCTATATAAAGACTTCTCTTGTTGTCTGATGCGAAATTCTTGAACGTTAGAAGACAAGTTCAAGCTAAAAATCTTTGATTGCAATTACCGCAAACACACTGTACACGAGGACAAGAGACTTCCTTCTACGACTGACGAGTTCTGGAAATGACAGACCTTTTATCCTCTGTACAAAGTCTTTCATTAAGAGGAGGAAAAAGAGTAAGCCTGAACTTTAATAGCCAAGTAAAACTTACTTATTCCTTACTTACTAGAGCTTGGTCTTTGTGTGCCAGCGGCTGCAATTGATTGGGATCAATATGCCAAATACTCTTTCCAGCTTAATGCCCACTTAATATTATTTCGCAAGTTTGAAAGCAAGAAGATGTGTGCATAAGTGCAATCTACTCCTTAATCAATATTCATGTTAAACGCATAACCCTTATTAACAGAAATTTTGAGTATCGAATGAGAAAAAAGGAGAAAAAAATTAAATATGATGTAAATACATTTTGTGAGCTTAAATTAAGATAGGGAGGTGTTAGCTAACAAAGGCAGAAAAAGTTCTTTTGCATCAAACAGTTCAAGAGAAATGTCTCAAAGCAATATCTTGACAGAGAAACTGGATACTTAAGTGAAATATTTCTGGTAAATAAACTTTCTTTTCATTTTCATTTATTTTCAGATTACTCAGGCCTTCCTTTTCAAATCTACAATTGTGTCTACGTACACGCATTTTCGTGTCTAAAAATAAAAACAAAATGCAATTTGTTTCCTACAAAGCAACGCAATGGATTCAAATCATATGAGCATATAGATAAGAGATTTTCAAAAAAAAAAAAATAAAAAAAATAATTTAAAAGCAAAAGTAGAAAAGTTTTAAAAACTCGCAACAACAACGGAAAAAACATAACCTATAAATTAAAGCAAACACATGCAACGCAATGAGTGCCATATCTATAGCCAACGCAAAAGGTAAGTTTTTATGTACTTATTTATTTTAAACACTCGCTACATTTGCATCGAAAGAGAGATGATTTTTTCATTTTACTTGCAATTGTTTTACCGACAAATTTGAAATCATCGGAGTTGACGAACGTACAGTGTTGGCTCTGTCCGTCGTGGACACCAGCCAGTGGATGTGAAATAAAAAAGCTGAAGCTTCCAAGCTTCATATTTGTAAATGATCAGAATGCCACAACTTTGAAAAACTTTTTTGAACCCATCTTTCATAGTAAGAGTCTCGAAGTGACAATATAGATAATGAGGTCTCCTCATTCAACATCTAACAGCACCTAGACGCGCACCAATTTTTACTTTTTTGTCCAGTTACACAATCTGTGGGCGCCTAAAATTACTATTAAACTCTGTCTGTGTCCTTGTTCGCGTTTTGCTGATTTGTGTAAAGGCCCTCCCACTTGTTATACCCGTCATCCAAGAGTTAGGTTTGTGCTTATTTTGCCAAAATGTTTGCCCATAAGGAAGTTTCAGAAAACCCGCAGAGTGTATATATTCTTGATCAGTATTATCAGTATTCTAAATTGATTTAAGCATGTCATGTCCGGCTGTCCGTTTGTATAATGCCTATTATAAACATTGTCCTTGCCGGAAAAATGAAGATATCGCCTACAAATTTGCAAAAGAGTTTGAATATGGCCTAAACTTTTCAAAGAACAAGCTTACAACGCCCACACGTCTATGCAATCAAAACTGAGAATTGCTTTGCTTTCCGCGTCTTTTGCTCGACAAAACTACGACAGATACACGATATAAGTTTCCACTGAATTATTCTACAAAATTGAAAAAAAATAAGCCGCGCCCACCAATATTATAGAGTATGCCAATTTTTCTTTTTCTTTTTTTTTAATTCTTTATAGGATATCAGTCATGGGTATAAAGGACGCGGATGCAACCGAATATAAATTTCTTACTTTCTTTTTACCTAATTAATATAGTAAACCGAAGTTTTTGATCTTTATTCAAAACCGCAGTGAAATTCAAAGAATTGAGTTTGACTTGCGCCATAATGAGGAGAAGATAAAGCAGGAGTTCATGAATATTATATCGTTCATTAAGAGAGACGATTAAGTTAAGTCAATCGCTTATTTCTGTACATAGACTCCCAACACTAAAGCCTTACTCAACGCGACAGATGCAATTTCAAAATTGACTTGACATGTCCATAAATGTACAAATGTGTCTATTGACACTAGGGTTCAGGACGGTGGTTTTTTATAGCCACAAGTCAGCAAACGCACATGCATTTGTATATGTTTACTCTTAACATGAAACATTTCGATCACAATTACTTTATTTGTTCCTTCTTGGTCTTTTGTGTAGACTCTCACAGTTTTCAAAGTTGGTGCAGTAAATTTATGCTTCGGCCTTACCCAGTATTGCAATTTGGTTTAGAAACAGGTTTCATTCAGCCCATAATGCAGTCGAAACTGGAATCAGGACATTTATCAGCGTCAGATTTTTTGTTAACGAGTTTCCAAAACGTGGGAAAACCCCGTATACATTTTTTTGACAGTGAAACTTTTCGTTTCCAGTTTCTAAGAAAAGGAGATGGCGTAGTTAATGTTACGGTTGTGTTCGCGCCTGTTTATGTTGGCATACCCAACACACTCGAACCTTACCCGGTAGTTTTAAAAATGAGCTCAAATCGATCGGCTTGCCCATAATACGGATAGATTGAAACCTGAATATTTACCGATATTGAATTTTTTATTGAAAACTCTGCAAATAGAGTTTTCTTTTGCTACCTTTTATTCCACCCAAAACATTGCTCGCTGAGTTGTTTTGACATCTTTGTGGCCCAAAACCCATATAAGATTACAATTTGTTTGTGTTAGCCTAGCGCTTTACTTGCAAGTTTAATGAGACGATTGTAGCAATTGCCGCCCTTTAGATTCATTTGAATGAAAGGATACAGTGAAGTCACGATTAAATAGAAGACTTTCGTATGTTCGAACGTGAAAAGAAATCTAAATAAATGCTACTACAACACTTTAAAAGAGAGCAAGAAGTAAAATTCAAGGAGTTCTATGAAACGGACGTACATAAAATTGTACACTGAAATGGTGAGCACGGCCTACAAAGCTTTTAACCGTCATTTTCCTTGAAATAATTTACGAGCCAATCGGGTTGAATTATTTTATGACTCCATCAAATTCGTGCCATCAGTTTTCGGAACTGTTCAAGTCTTTATATAATGTATGTTGCAAGCTTTACATATATGAGAACATGGTAAAGGGTATCAATAAGAACGAACTTGTTTGAAAGACATGAATGATCACATTTCGCGTCCACTGTAACGAGTATAAAATTGTCGAATGCGACCGCAGCTTTGTTAATAGATAATAGTGTTTGTTCAATTGATGAAAATTTGATAAAAAGAGTTTAGAACATTTCTCCAGGCAGCTAAAAAGGAAAATGGGGACCCTTCACGGTGCGTTAGAATATCCCAAACTCGCTTTAAAATGAATATGCAATAGTTATGGCAACGCTTTTGTTTCAAAAGTGTGTTTGTATTTATTTAATTGCTGTTGTTTTCTTTAAAACACATCTCCTTTTTTCCCAGCTATTAAAGAAGATGATTAAGTTAAATGCTGCAGTGTGGGACTTTTATATGAAATTCTAGGAGAAAAGAATAGAAAAAAAAAAGAATAAAAATCTAGTGAAGATTTGCAACGATTATAAGCGCACAATTGAGTTGGGAAGTTTGCAATCATACGTATGAAACCACATTTGGAAATATGTGTTTAATTGTTGTTAATAACGACTTGTACCTAATTTTAAAAATTAAATGCTTAACGCTAAAGCTAAAGCAATGTTGCCTGCAACTGTGAAGTATATTTAAGTGTGCTAAGTGCTGCTGGTATATCTACAAGCCCATGCACATGTATACATTAATACGATTACGTAGATATATGAAAATATTTATATATATATATATATATATATATATATGCGTCTGCACATCTGCATCACATTCTCTAAGGATTTACAATAATACTGTCTGTGTTTGATATGCACTAAAATGTCGGTTTTACGTTGCTTTTCGAGAGAAATTTTAGGGGTTGTGCGCAAGCATTAGGTTAAGTTTAGGAAAGGATTTATGGTTTTTGACTTTAATTCAAACCAAGAATAGTTTAACAGTAATATACAATTAAATTTACATGAAATTTTTATTTAAAATATATAGAAATGCATGCTTCCCATTCGAATATTAGTTGAATATAATTTTCTTAAAAAAAAACAAAAATTTTTTTTTCATTTCAGCTTATGTCTACCAACTATTATTGTCTACCGTATTGTTACAAATTACTTTAGTCACAATTGCACAATTACTACTCGTACTGCCAATGCCGATGGCAAAGGCCACAAACGGCTTACGCGTGCCCACCTTTATACAAGAACCACCGCCTCGTTTACTTTTTAGCAATGACACCGGCACTCAAGTTAGTTGTACGGCTCATGGTAATCCACCGCCAGTTGTGTCATGGGTACTCAGCGATGGCACAATGGCTACACAAGTGCCGGGACTCAGGTAAGCCTAATAACGTACATAAGTACATATATTTACCATCACCTTGCGAAAGCGCATATGTTCGCAAAAAAGAAAAAAAGAAAAAAAAAGAAAAAAAAAACTATAACCACCGCATACAATATAATGAACGTTTTATCTCATATATGTACAGTTAGCACTATGGGTCCGAATTGCATTGCATTCATTTTAGTTTTTACTACAACAGCTGCTGCTGCTGCTGCTGATGCTGCTACTGCTGCCTTATAATAGACACCAGCACACAAAAAGTTAAAGAAAAATTGCGCAAAGACACAGAGACGCCCAGGTGTCTCGATGCGTTCTACATTTTAGTGGTTAACAAAAACCAAAATGAGGGTCACTTAAGGGTTTTGCTACATTTTAGCCTTTTTCATGTCGACATATATACATATGAAGTAACATATACATTCTTATATGAACTAAACTTGCATATATATATACCACGTTTAGTTTATTATCAGATAAAGTTATTTAAAGTTTAAGTAAATTTTCATACAAGTTTTCAAATTGTTTAATTGTTTTACTTTTCGTAAATATTATCAGCAGCGAGTAACGAGGGACCAATTTTCTTGCTTTAAATTAAGTATAATTTGCTTGTTTCACTTAAGATATTTGTAAAGAAGTTATAGTACTTTTTATTGCGATTTATAAGAGTGAGAGAGAGAGAGAGCGAGAGAGCTTTAATTGAAAGAAATTTTAGCTCTTAGAAGCACTTAATAAGAACTCATCAGCTTTATCTGAAATATGATCATTGTAATAAACGGATAAGAAAATTATATTTACTTTAGCGCTTTCCGCTTATGTTCTCAAGGTTGATAAAATTCTCCGATAAAGCACTTTTGCATATGCGGCATCGGGAATATATGTCCATTTGTCGGTGTTTGCGTAATCACAATATATATTGCTTAGAATAAAAAATGTTCTGCTAAATCGCTTGCTCTACTGCCAGGCAACAAAATCAATTCATTGATTTACCCTCAATTCGGAAACATTGAATAATTAGAAATCTCATCCCTACTGATGACTTAAGTCACTTGTGCTACAGGTGCATATATGTATGAACTAAGCACTTGAGATAAAAGACTTGATTTTTTTTATACTAGATTCAGAGTGAACTGTGTCGCGTAGCCAAATCTAGTTCTTGGCCCTCTTGACGAAAATGGCAGCGTAGGGCATTTAAGACTCGATCTTGCCCTTCCATGCCTTTTTGACATTTTTCTTGAGCCATATTGGCTCTTCTGATGTTTTGTATTCATTATTTTGCTTGCATCGGTTATGCTAATCGATGTGTGCGTAATGCTTCGCATATGTTAGTCATTTAGCTAAGGTGAAATATTTGCGTGTGAGCAGTGCGGCCTAAATTATTAAATGTCATTTAGACATTTCTATTAGCAATTTAACGAATTGTTGACTCATGGAGGAATCATTCTTCAGTTTTTTTATCCTATAATTTTAATAAGTTTGCTCCAATGAGCTTTCAGTAGCACTTTTATCTCCGAAGTGATTTTTTTCTTCAGACTTTTTTTATTTATCTATATCTGCTATCATTTCAATTTTTAATGAAAAGTCAAAAGACAATCAACTTTTGGAGTTTGGAAGCAAAACCAGTAGGACTAGTAAATATAGCGCATAACCCGGTTCCATCGCGGTATGTCATTATTTCTTGGTAGCAATAACTGTTACAATTTTTCAGGCATAAGAGAAAGAGTGTCGATTTTTTGCTCAGACACAAGTATAGACAAAGAAATTTGCAATTTGCCTGAACACGAACACAAAATAATTTAAATTTAAATTACTTTCAATTTGTGATAAGCTGCCATTATTGCTTTTGTTGCTTATTGTTTACCGCTTGGTTTTTTCATTTATAAAAAATTTATTAGCTGGAATTGTAAAATTTTTTAAAATACAAATTTGTCCATCCTTCGGTCGCGATGCGAACGTTGGTGGCCAATTTGAAATTTATCAGGTTGACCTAAGTGAGCATAAAATCAAAATGATTTAATTTGGTGTAAATCGTCATTAAGTTTTGTTGCAAGATTACAAAATGAACTTTGCTGCAAAACTAGTTCATTAAGTCGCGAAAACTACTACACTGCCACTGGTGTTGTTCAGAACACGATTGTTAGCATTAAAATCAAAGCGATTAAATGTCAACTTCTTCTACTCGAGCAATTTAAATTTCTAAAGTTCAAAGGATATCTCCTCACGAAGAGTTTTCCTCATTCGTTTCAAATCGCATATCCTTCGTTAGGGTTCGATTTTTTCTTTTTCTTGTTTTTTACCTTTTACTCTGGGCTTTGTGTGCATTTCATTGCTCCCTGTCATTTATTCGTGTTATATGTCAAATGAATGTTATGTTCCTTACATTCATTTTTACAAAAAAAATTAAAGAAAAATGAGGGAGGATAAGATTACATACACAACTGCTTTACTTATATTTTATGCTGCATTCTATCTGTGTTCTTTGTAGTCGCATAGTTGGCAGCGGATTTTTTTGTGCTCATCTAAGTAAGTGAATGCTAGAAGTGAGAGTATTTGTGTCGTAAACAATTCAGCATTGAATTCGACTGGATTACTACGTACAAATTATAAGCCACAAATGTATTTTTATGTGCATAGGTGCACGAGTAGACAAAGATTTTGCTTTATGTCTGCGGCATTGCTTGGCACACATAAGGTATCCTTTTCGTTTGTTAAAAAGATATATACATATGCGTTTATTAAGGTGCTTCTTAGTGCTCACTGTGTGCTTATAGACGCGTTTGTTGCAGTTTTGCTTTATTTCATCAAAAACATTTTTCTTTTTTCATGCAAACGTTCGTATACAAATCGTTTGTATCTTTGTTTTTCTTTTTTTTTTAATACAAAGAAAAAAAACTTATTCTCATTCGTACTTCGGGTTGGTGGCTTGTGCTTGATTCTATTCAAATACTTTTATTTTTTCTTGTTGAGTGCTTTCTGGGGCTTATTCCTTTACTCTTTTTCTGTGTATTTTCCATCCATAACTCTTTTGTTTGAAACACGTTCTCGTTTTATTAAATGTTTAAATTCTAAATAAATTTCTTTTTTTTTCCTTTTTTGCTACTTTCTCTCATTGCTTGTTCAATTACTACGCCTTGAGTGCTACTGAGGTACTTCGTTACTTTCGAGATGTTTGTTTTATTTATTTATTTATTTATTTATTTTCTTCTTTTCTTTTTTTGCTTAGCATTGGAAGTAGAAAGAGTTATTCTTTCATTGGATTTTTTATTTTCGTTTACTTGAGTCGCTCCAAAAAATCTTCAACTGACTTCTTCTATTTCTGCCGGATTCGTTGGTTTGGAAAATGAATGAGTATTTTCTTAATAAATTTCAAAGTGCAAGAGAAATTTAATTGAATAACCAAAAAAATTGTAAAGAAAAACAATTTTATTTAAATATTTTTGTTATTCTTCTTCTCGATAAAAGAAAATTTCATTTCCTCTTAATAAGAGTGAGAATCAATTTTTTTTTTTTTTTTTTTTATATGCTTTTTACTGTTGATCTATAATACGCTGGATACATGTAACTTGGGACATATGTATATACATTAAGCATTTCAACTATTGTATATTAGATTATGTTAGCGGGAAAGTTCCGTCGTATTTTGAATAAAACATTTGAAGTTGAAGATGTCTGATGTGTACCTCAACAGTCAAATTGCGGATTGGTTTGCCTCGACTTGACAAGTAAAGTTAACAATAAGTAGTAATATACGACACAGCGTTCCGGCCAACCTATTATATTATATATCACATATTATCTATAATATATTCGAGAGTGTATAGGGTGAAAATGCCTCTGAAAACTAATAGACGAACGCTGCACTACTGCAGGTGGACTTGTATTAAGATTGCGCAAATCAATCAATTGGTCATGAATTTTGATTACGGAGGTTGCCTTTCTTGACGCTCATCTATGCATCGCAAGTTCCCCCAAATAATAATAGTGAAGAGCTAGTTACTCATGCTGTCAGGCCACCATACTTTCTATTATCTACAAATGAGAGACAACAAGGAACAAGTTTAAGATCAACAAATAAAAACCCTATAGTCGGGCACGGTCCATCAATATATACCCTACCCTACCCTAAATTTATTCACATATTGCCTTTTCAAAATGAAGCCTTATAAGGATTCGTCCTCAGGCCAGAACACGTCGATGCACCAAATTTTAGAAAAATCTCTTGAAAGTTGTGGCAAGAAAGGCAACAGACAGGGTAGCTTAGAACCATTTTCTGAAGCGATCGGAATAAATTGCTGTAATAAGAAGAGTCTTTCTGAGTCGTGCGAAGATCCGCACAAGAGTAATATACCATTGCATCATAAGTGTGAGACGAGAATGGCTTAAAAAAGCGATGAACTAAAAGAAATAATTAAATAATTAAAACACAAGCAAGCCCTAAAAGTATCATAATGTTTATATAGAAAATGTATTTATAACTTAAAGGAGAGGTTGAAAGGCATTTTTAAATGAAAAGAGTTGCGGGTCGATGTAATTACACACAGAGACAAAGACGAAGAACACCGGTCCAAAGCAAAACATTTTAGTAAAGTTTGGCCGTTCTCAGCAATAAGTGCCAAAAAAAAGAAGAAAACACCTCCAGCTTATAATTTTCATTTTCTTGATAGATCGCTTTTAGTGAAGAATAGAAATGTCGAAAGCGGGGCCAATATGCGTTCGACATCATCGAATCGATCCTTACCTTTGATAAGAATCGAAACTTCCGTTCCGCTGGTCACTCACTTTGTCTTTCTTTGTCGTCTGCTCATCTGTCCCGCCGTCTGTTCCATCGGTATATAAAGTTGAAACCTAGTGTACACACCAATAGTTAACAGTCCCAACATGTTCACAAACCTTAAAAAAGAGAACAATTGATAATTCATAGCAAAAGTTGGTAGGGAGAATCACCTGGATGTTAACGAAAAAAAAGTTATGGTCAAGCTACAAGGGAGAAAAATGAT